TTCTCTGTAAATTTTCTGTAGAGAGTGATCAAATTGGAAGAGGAAAGGTCGATATATATAGCGAAGGAGAGAGGAGCGTCGCACTTAATCAGCGTGTTAATGACGTGATTAATTTTGCGTTAATGACGCGATTTGGGCGTTAATCTTGGCGTGATTTTCGGGAGAGACATTTGACTGCAGTTTAATGTCGTGATTCTGTTAAGAATTTGAACCGAAAACTTTAGCAATTTGGGCCAGAAATGTTGACCAAAACGTGGCCCAAAAAGAACATCTTTTGTTGACCGAAAGCTCGGCTCGGCGGCGGCGGCGCGCGAGAGGTCCTTGGTTCTCCTTCACACACTTTGAATTATGTCATGTGTGTCTATATTTATATGACTCTAAATTTTTGCAATCCTTGGATGTGGGACAAAATGAAGTTCCTCACATTTTAGGTTGCCTTGAAGGGCTTTATTTTTATTCATACTTGACCAAATTTTAAAGCTTTTTGGGCTTTGTAATAATTTGGGTCCAACAGAAACCAATATGCATAACTTATTCCCAAAGATATTTGTTACTGGTCATACAAAATTCCTTATTAACATCTATCAGGGTTCCCTTACATTTAGCTAGCTAGGTCGGGTAGTTCTCGGTCAAGAAGGACCAGCTTTGGTTTTGTCTGACGGTTCCCTGTGGGTGAATTTTCACAAGAAGTATACCAATGTTATCACATTAATATCAGTAATCAACACACAACATCGCTGCAATAGATAGATGCACCGATCTTCATCGGCGCTTATGGGTTCTTGTAAAATACATGTTTAAATTATCAATCGAACTTAGATTTCTGTTTTTGATTAATTAATTGGTTTAAATAAATTTTTTACCCATTTGATGATTTGATTAACTCACTCCGTTTTAGTACTTATACGTAAAACCTTCTTATGTCTACACAGCAAATCTTTCATTTAATTTGTACTCATCATGTGAAGGCGTAGTCCAAGAATCATTCATAGTCTAAAAAAACCGGTGAAACAGAACCACCTAACCGGGATTGCAATTGAGACCGAAACCAAGAGGAAACAATGGGTCATACAAATCCGCATCAGCGATTAACGGCAATTCTCAACGCGTTTGAACCAGCTCACTGGTAACTTCCCTTGGAAGTCGAAATCTCCGAAAATGACATCAGAAATCCCGTGCCCTTCTGTTCCAGGCAGCCAAGCAGCGACCAAAGCCTCTGTCTTTTCAAGAACCTGTGGCTCAAGAACCATAGGCCGTCCTGAGAACAAGATCACTAGAGTCGGGAATTTCTCTGCAACCACGGTTATAGTTTCATTGCCATTGAAAGGTATTGTGAGCTCCGAGTTATCACCCTTCATCTCTGCATAGGGAAGTTCTCCCACAGCAACAATGGCGTAAGAGAATCCTTCACTTGATGCTAAGGTTTGCTTTGTTGGAGTTTTCTCGTAGATCACTTCGGTTTTCTCTCCAACCGCTTCTTTTATGGCATCCAAAAGCGTCGTGCCTGCGTTTTAGAAACAAAAAACTTACAGTATCTATAAGTATAATACTGGAATTCGCTTTTTGATTATTACCAATTGTGATTCTGCCACTTTGACCGGATTTTGTCTTTGTCCAGCCTCCACACTGATTTCCAAGATCGTTTGCGTGGATTCCAACCACTAGAATTCTCTCAGCCATACGATTAAGTGGCAGAAATGGCTTATAAGAGTTTTTGCCGTTCTTTAGCAAAACTAACGACTTTCTAACTGCTTCACGTGCTACTTCTCTATGTTCCTGCAGAGAGTCAAATCATATTGTCTCATAGACACATCTTATGAATAGTGGTGGTGTGGCAACTAGAGAGAGCTTACCTTGCAACCAACAGTAGGTAACAAAGACCGGTCCGTGAGAGGATGTTCGAAGAGACCAGCAACAAACTTCACTCTAAGTATTCTTTCAACAGCATCATTGATTCGAGCCATTGGTACTTCCCCTGACTCAACCAAATCTGTAAGATCTTCAATGAATTGTTTGTACTTGAAAGGTACCATCACCTGCAATAACATTTGATTAAGAACAATCTTTAGATCTTTCAATCATCCAAAGATAGATTTCATTACCATGTCGATTCCAGCATTGATTCCGAGTTTGACACAGTTACGGTAGTTTGAACCTTGTGGCTCGCTGATCGTCTCCAAACCATCCCAGTCTGAAACTAAAAATCCCTGGTAACATAAAAAAACAAAAGTAAGATCAATGCATACACCTCTAGCTTAGTTTAGTTAGAAACTTTTTGCATATTCAATCAAACCTTGAAACCCAGTTTCTGTTTGAGAACTTCCGTTAAGAGGAAATAGTCGGAGTGGAGTCTACTTCCATTCCAACTTGAGAAAGAGGCCATAACAGTACAGACTCCCTGAGAAATACAACTCAGGTATGGTGCAACATGTATTTTCTCCAATTCTTGATATGAGGCAATGGTGTTCCCTTCGCTTAAACCCTTATCCGTACCACCATCTCCAACAAAGTGTTTTGCACACGCGACGAGATTGTTTCTATCAATCACCAAGTGAACATATCCATGAAAAATGATAACAAGTCTATTACATAGTGTAGTGGCATCTATCAATCACCAAGTGAACATATCCATGAGAAATGATAACAAGTCTATTACATAGTGTAGTGGCATTATAATGTCTATATACCTTCCTGCAAGAAAAGGGTAACCGTTAGGGTGTTCTTTAGGTGGATTGCCTTGTAGGCCCGAGATAAGCGAACTCATCTCACAGACAAGTCCAGCATCTTCACCATAACTCTCGTAGCATCTTCCCCATCTTGGATCTCTCAGGACCTGTGAGTAAACAACATTTTCATTTAATATTTACAAATCATTATTCCAATGTTTTAAACATTCTATAAGGAACTTACGGCCACACAAGGAGCAAACGTCCAGTGGATGCCACTAGCCCTTACTTCAAGTGCAGTTGCAGCTCCAATTCTTCTGACCAAATATGCATCTCTATCGAGTTACCATTACGAGTGTTATGAGTCGATCTTGAAACACAACCAGTTTTTATTCATATCCAACCTAGCTACTACTATGTAATCAAACGCCAAGTGACACTTTAAATAACAAATCCTTGTAGAACATGAACAAAAACAAATTTGCTCTAAACTTGTAACAAAAAGATCCTTTCATCAAATTCAAAAGCTTTAAAGTCCATTGTTAAACTTCCAACAATCTAAACTCCATTACATGCAAATCTCTCTCACTCTCTGTCCATTTCCACTCTTTTGCAAAGTTTTTTTTGCTCAAAGTGAATGGTTAAACGAACCTTGTGGCGCCGAGGCCAATGTTGTGGGGGAAGACGGTGGCACCGTAGACGTTGTTGTTGCCGTGAACGGCGTCTGTGCCGTAGATTATTGGGATTCCCAAACGCGACGCCAACGCAGAACGCTGAAAACCATCGATCATATCAGCCCAATCCGACGATTTGGCGTCTTCAAACGGCCAACTCCCAGCGCCGCTCTGTACACTGCCTATTACCGGAGAAAAATTAAAATGCAAAATGATTAATCCAAATTTTTAGTCTTTTATTTATTTATTTTCCGACAGAAATACAAGGAAAGAAAATGGTAAACCGATGAAAGAATCTGTAATGAGTTGAGGAGAAGCGACGGCGCGTTCTATCTGAGTCATCTGGCCGATCTTCTCAGGCAGAGTCATGCGGGAGAGAAGGTCTTGAACACGCGCCTCCATCTGCGCGTCTGGGTTCTTGTAAACGCATGACGACGTCTCAAAAGTCATACTCTATTACTCTCTTTGGTCGTCTTTTTTTTTTTCTCTCTCAAGTCTAGCCACTCCACTTCTCTATATCTTTCGCCACTACACTCTGTTGTCTGTTGCTGAATTAATTGATTTTATCCCTCAAATTATTTGGTGCTTTCTAGTATTATGATTAAAATAATAATTAGTATCTCAAATTACTCCCAACCTACTTTATTTAATTGTTAATTGTTAAATGCATTAACATCTGGTGGTACTGAATATTTTTACGAGTAAGTTATTGGAAACAAGATCGAAGTATGAAACACAAATCCACACCTCAATTCTTATAGATGTTTTTATTAGATTTCAAATTTAATTTTTTTTTTGCTATGAACTTGAAGTATAGTTTAGCCTTTTCTCAAAAAAAAGCTTGAAGTATAGTTTCTTGTCGAACAAGAAAGTTATATAATGACTAAAATTCTCTTGGCACTGCGATCTAGTGGCAGGAATGGTTTATCAACATTTTTGCCGTTCTTTAGCAGAACCAAAGACTTTCTAACCGCTTCACGCCCCAATTCTCTATGTTCCTGAAATCATGAAAACAGAGTCAATCATGGACCCCACCTCTCCGGTCTAATGACATTATGTTCAAGAGACCTCACCTTGCAGCCAACAGTACCCAATAAAGACCGGTCTGTGAGAGGATGTTCGAAAAGAGTCAAAGACCATCGACAAACTTCACTCTTGAGTATTCTTTCAACAGCGTCATTGATCCGAGCCATTGGTACATTCCCTCACCTCACTCTTCCAGATCTTTGAGGTCCTTTCTGAACTGTTCGTACTTGAAAGGCACCATCACATGCTACTATTTTTACTGTTGTTCTTGCGCTTACTATCTAAGCTCACTTTTCTTCTCATAAACATGACAATGTTTTTCTACTTTTTTTCTACACCAAAAATGCCATTGTTCTTTCTTGTGTGATTTGTGGTCAAGTAACAAATGTGTGAATATTTTGTTAGTATGTTCTATTCTCACACATCAAGTTTTTAGAGAAATATTGGCACTAGAAAAAGAAAAAAAAAAGAAAAACAGATATTTAAGAGTGGCTACAAATAAATGATGCAAGACTTATTCACATCCAAATAAATATATCTCCTTGATAGATTTCTAGCCGTTGCTCACTCTTTCCTAAATCATGTAGGCATTGGTTCATGTATATATCATGATTATAATCACTCGGATGACATCACTATATAAATTTATTATACCAATGTAAGAACAAGTTTTGAACCAATTTGAACAAAGACCATTTAGAAAAAAGTCCCTTAAAAATTTGTAAAAACAGTTACAACAACGACAACAAAGTTGATAAAATGTACCCTTTTATTATGCCATATATTTGCATCTGTTCCTCAATCAGACCGCAGAAGTTAAACTTGTTTTGAGTTCTCCATGGCATCACAACTAAGACCAAAACCAAGAGGAAACAATGGGAAATAACCATTTGCCTCAATGTCAAGGGGCAACTGGTCTACGCTTTTGAACCAGCTCATTGGTAACTTCCCCTGAAAGTCATAATCTCCAAAAATCACGTCAGCAATCCCTTGTCCTTCGGTTCCAGGCAGCCAAGCAGCAACCAGAGCCTCTGTCTTTTCAAGAACCTTTGGCTCAAGTACCATAGGCCGTCCTGAGAACAAGATCATCAGAGTCGGGATTTTCTCCGCAACCGCAGTTACAATCTCGCTACCATTAAAAGGTATTATGAGCTCCGAGTTATCTCCCTTAGTCTCTGCATAAGGCGGTTCCCCCACTGCAACAATTGCGTAAGAGAATCTTTCACTCGAGGCTAAGGTTTTCTCCGAAGGAGTCTTCTCGAATACCACTTCGGTTTTGTCTCCAACTGTTGCTTTAATGGCGTCTAAAAGCGTTGTGCCTGACATTTTCAGACATATTAGATTTCTAAACAAGACCATTAAGCAACCAAATCATATTGTAGTATCTTTAGTTACCTATTGTGATCCTTCCGCTTTGACCAAACATTGTCTTTGTCCATCCTCCACACTGATATCCAAGATCATCCGCATGCGTTCCAACCACTAAAATTCTCTTGGCGTTGCAATCTAATGGAAGAAATGGTCCACATTTTCCGTTCTTTAGCAGGACTAACGACTTTCTAACCGCTTCACGTGCCAATTCTCTATGTTCCTGAACGCATGAAAACAGAGTAAATCATGTTTTTGGTGAGTTTTCAAAACGTATTAGCACTCTGGTCCAATGACATTGGGTACAAGAGATCTAGCTCACCTTGCAACCAACGGCAGGAAACAAAAACCGGTTTGTGAAAGGATGTTCGAAGAGACCAGCTACAAACTTCACTCTGAGTATTCTTTCAACAGCATCATCCACACGAGCCATTGGTACTTCCCCTGACTCCACTAGATCTATCAGGTCTTGTATGAACCGTTCGTACTTGAAGGGTACCATCACCTACAGTAAATTGATTTTATTAAATTTTCTCTTCAATCATCCGAGACAATGGGGAAAAAGTTCACTACCATATCAATTCCAGCATTGATTCCGATCTTGACGCAGTTGCGATAGTTTGAACCAGGAGGGTCGCTAAGCCGGTCCAAGCCTTCCCAATCTGAGGCTAGATATCCCTGATAACCAAACAAACAAACAAACAAACAAAACAAGATGAAATCAAACAAACTCAATGAATATATAATATAAGTCGTTTCATAATAAATCAACCTTGAAACCGAGCTCTTGTTTGAGAACTTCTGTTAAGAGAAGATAATGAGAGTGAAGTTTATCTCCGTTCCAACTAGAGTAAGAGGCCATAACGGTAGAGACTCCCTGCTCAATACATTTCTTATAGGGAGCAATGTGTATTCTCCTTAAGTCTTCATATGACAGAATGGTGTTGCCTTCGTTTTTACCTTTATACGTTCCACCATCTCCAACAAAATGCTTGGCACAAGCGACCACGTTTTTCCTATCACCAATTAACCAAGTCAATAGAGAAATGAAAATGAACATACTTAAGACAACAAATCAAGCCATAGTCTTACCTTCCTGCTACAAAAGGGTAACCATTGAGATGTTCTTTAGGTGGTTGGCCTTGTAGACCTGAGACAAGTGAAGTCATCTCAGAAACAATTGTAGGAACTTCACCATAACTCTCATAGCATCTTCCCCATCTCGGATCTTTCACTGTCTGTAATAACAACATCTCACTCAAATTCAGTTGACTAAACAATCAAGATATATTCAGCCTTGTTGCTATTAAGGGACTCACCGCAACGCAGGGAGCAAACGCCAAGTGAGCACCAATCGCTCTTACTTCAAGTGCAGTTGCAGCTCCAATTCTTCTGACCAAATCCGCATCTCTACAAAAAGTTATTACATGAACTAGCAGTGTTATAATCACATTAATAAATAATACCAAACAAACACATCAAGAATCACAATATCTACACCGATCTTGATAACATATTCAGATGCTAATCAGAGCTATATGGTGAGAGATTATAAACAACATGATCACAGGTTCAAATTAGACTCTAATCAACTAGGGTTAAATCTCTAGTGAAGTCAACTCTCATCCGGAAAAAAAGTCAAACAGATAAAGTCAACCCCATGTTCTATGCAAATCTCTCTCTCTCTTTTTTTTTGTGTGGAATTTGTAGCTTCGTTAAAGGGAACCGGACCTTGTGGCGCCGAGGCCGATGTTGTGAGGGAAGACGGTGGCGCCGTAAACGTCGTTGTTGCCGTGAACGGCGTCGATGCCGTAGATAATGGGGATTCCCAAACGCGACGCTAACGCTGATCGCTGAAAGCCATCGATCATATCAGCCCAATCTGACGGCCTTGCATCCTCGAGTGGCCAACTTCCTGCTGCGTTCAGTACACTACCTGTATAACCACAAATCCATTGACAAAACTCATTTTACGAACACAAGAAGAAAATATAACAAAAGTGTTCAGTTTCGAAAGAGAAAATTAAAAAGCATCAAGTAAAGAAGAAAGTTTGTTCGTTGACCAAAAACATAAAGTAAACATGTGGTTGCGTACCGATGAAGAAATCTGTAATGGCGGCTGGAGAAGCGACGGTGCGTTCGATCTGAGTCATCTGGCCAATCTTTTCCGGCAAAGTCATGCGAGAGAGAAGGTCCTGAACACGCGCCTCCACCGGCGCGTCTGGGTTCTTGTAAACGCATGACTTTTCATTGTCAACCATCTTTCGTTTGTCTTCTTACAATTTCGCCTCTACGCTTTATATAATATAGCCAACCTATAATAAACGTGGCATGCTGATTCGGACAAAGACATCCAAGTGCGTCATGGTTAAGGGTGGTTTATTAATTATTATGGTAAGATAAATATAATTAAAAAAAGTCAATAAACGTTTTCACTTTATCAAATAGGGTGTGAATAGCTCTCATGGGAGCAAACACAAATATGTTTGGAACCACGACATCAGCAATACCAAATAAAAGTATTATTGTTTAAGACTGAGAGCAGACTGAGCAGTGAAGTCAATGATCATAATTCATATTCATAAGTATTTAACTTGAATAATCTTGGCGTTTCCCAAATCAACACATTTCCTTTTTGTCATTTTGTGCATTCTTTATTTTGCATATTAAATATGTAAGACCCACCTTTGATTATATACGTTCATTATATATTTTATTAGCAAAATCACAAAAGGAAATTGATTATAATCATAAGTTACCCCTTATTATATATTCACAACAAAAGGACTAATCTAAATCTGTTAAAATTAATAAAAGTCTAAATTAAAGTCCAACTTGGTTTCGAAAAATGACCACATAATTTCTGTATCCAAGAATCACCACTATACAGCAGTTCAGATTTGCAATCTGTTTTGTGATAGTGGTAAATAATAATAGTCTTTTACTTATATCAGATTCAAGGAGAGAGAATTCTGTTTTTTGAAAAACTAATTTCCGTCATTATTAAAAGGCAGCAGAGTAGGAGACAAAGTTCTTAAAATACAACCTACACCAGACCGGTATCAAACCAAAGCAATAAGAAAAATGAGAAGTGAGCAAATGAGAAAGCCGGACTAAACCAAATGTAATTGAGAAAGATTTCAGAGAAATTTGGCCAGAACACACCTATTTTTTACTTCTCTTACATATTTTCTCCTCGTATTATTCATTCTTACATTTCAGCCCAAACCCGAACGGGAACAACGGATCATACCCATCAGCTTCCTTGTTCATCGGCAACTGCTCCGTCGTCCTAAACCAAGAAATCGGCAACTTCCCACTGAAATCATAATCTCCGAACACCACATCAGCGATCCCGTCTCCTTCAGTTCCGGGCAACCAAGCCGCCACCAAAGCTTCCACTTTATCCAACACCGTCGGGTCCAAAATCACCGGTCGTCCCGTCATCAGAATCACCACCGTCGGGATTTTCCCAGCCACCAATCTCATTACCTCAGCCCCATCGAAGTGTATCGATGGCTCAGGATCATCACCTCGAGACTCCGCATACGGAGCTTCCCCAACGACTACAATGGCGTAGGAGAAATCCTTACCGGACAAAGTCTCCTCCGATGGACTCTTCTCGTAAACCACCACTGTTTCTGCTCCTACAATCGCTTTGACGGCGTCCAAGACCGTTGTGCCTGGACTCGTAGTGAAACAGAGGATGTTAAAATAGTTAGCTTGTTGCTCACGATACCACTTCGTTATGAAACAGAGGATGTTAGAATAGTTAGACACGAAACTATTCTTGTGGACACAGAGTTGCTTACCGATTGTGATCCGACCACTCTGACCTAACCAAGTCTTGGACCATGCCACCACATTGAAACCCTAGATCGTCTGCGTGAGTTCCGGCCACCAAAACTCTCTTTGCATTTCGATCTAGCGGAAGAAACGGTTTCTCTGAATCTTTTCCGTTCTTTAACAGAACTAAAGATTTCCTAACGGCTTCACGAGCTATCTCTCTGTGTTCCTGAGTGCAAGATTCGAAATGACTAGGGTTATTTAAAAAGCCCTAAACTTTACGGATTTAAATGAGTAGCTAATTGAACCTACTTTGCAGCCAACAAACTTCAGCAACGATCTGTCAGAGAAAGGGTGTTCGAAAAGACCGGCTGTGAACTTCATTCTCAGGATTCTCTCGACCGCATCATCGATTCTTGACATAGGTATTTCCCCGGACTGCACCAGAGATGTTAGATCATTGATGAACTTCTCATACTTATAAGGGACCATGACCATGTCTATTCCAGCGTTGATCGCAGCTTCCACACATTCACGGTAGTTTGAACCACGTGGTTCGCCCATCTTATCGATTCCAGACCAATCTGAAACCAAACATCCCTGCAAAAGCAGAATGATCACACAGAATTGAGAGTTTTACTAAGTTGTTGATGCAACCGGTAAGGAAAACAAGGCTGTGATATTTGACCTTAAAACCGAGCTTCTCTTTGAGAATTTCAGTCAAGAGGAAACGGTCTGCATGGAGTTTGCTTCCGTTCCAACGAGAATAAGAAGGCATAACCGTGGAGACACCTTGAGCAAGACATTTCAAGTAAGGAGACATATGAATCCTCTCCAAGTCTTCGTATGAAGCCACCGTGTCTCCTTCATTCTTGCCCTTTTCTGTACCACCATCTCCTACAAAGTGCTTTGCACATGCAACCACATTGTGTCTGAAACAGAACCCCAAATATAAGAATTTATGAGCATCAGATTACGTGTTTGTCAAGAAAAGTTGGATTGGTATAGAATTTACCTTCCGGCTAGGAAAGGGTAACCGGCGGGATGTCCTTGCGGTGGAGTTCCTTGCAGACCGGAAACGAAGGATGTCATGTTGCAGACAACGTCAGTGTCTTCGCTGTAGCTCTCGAAACATCTTCCCCATCTCGGATCTTTGCACACCTGCCAAAATCCCACAAACATGATTAGATATATTGTTCTGTTTTCATTTTCAGTTTCGTGTGACCCAAGAAAGCTTATAGTAGGTGAAAAGACTTACAGCCACACAAGGAGCAAATGCCCAATGAGCCCCACTTGCCCTAACTTCCAAAGCAGTCGCTGAACCAATCCTTCTAGCCAAATCTTCGTCTCTGTCAAGTTATTTGCAAATTTTATTCGGTTCAAATCTTCTTGACAAATCAAGCGGATTTATACTTCATATATGTTTTATATTTGGTTTAGGACGAACCTGGTGGCACCGAGTCCTATGTTGTGAGGAAAAATGGTGGCACCGTAGAATTTGTTGTTTCCATGGACGGCGTCTAAGCCGTAGATGATTGGTATGGCGAGACGAGTCTCGAGCGCCGCCGTCTGAAAGCCGTCGATCATCTCCGCCCAATCCACTGACAACACATCATTCCCTGATTTCCCGGCAGAGTTGCATACGCTGCCTGAACAAAGAAGACAAAACAAAACGACTCAGTTTCATATATAATCCAATTCCAAATCATTCACTTTTCACTGTGGAAACTGAGAATCACCGATGAAGAAGTCTTTGATGACGGCGGCAGAGGAGACGCCACGGTGGATCTGAGTCATCTGACCGATCTTCTCTTCAACTGTCATCCTTTGTAGAAGGTCTTGAATCCGATCTTCCACAGCTTCTTTAGGGTTCTTGTAAATGCAGTCCATACCGGTAACTTCTCCAACTTTGGTCATTCTCTCCTGTAATAGCCCTTGAGTTTATTCGAGTGTGGTCTCCAGCGAACTCGTCTGTCTTTATTTATACAGGGAAACAAAATAGGACAAATCCTAAACTTTTTAAAAAACAAAAGTTGATGTGTTTCGCCGATGAATCTTATCTTGGCTCAATTATTTACCTTTTGTTATTATATTTTTATCAAAGAACTGAGTGAGGCTGGCATACGAAGCTTTTACTCTATTTCACTAGTATTTGATACCAACCCAACTACCACACATGCAAGACCGATAGGAGTCAACTTACGTATTTAAGTATTTAATAACTCTAATGATCTTGGCATTTTCGAGATTCCAAATTGGTTGTCAAATTTTTTCTTGTCGATTATTAACATTTCCTGGTCTTTTCGTTTTTGTCATTTTGTGAATGAATGATTGATTTTATCAACCTTCGACCCAAAAAAAAAATTGATTGATTCTATCAACGTTTTATCTTTCTTTTTATTATTTCATTTTTTTCCTTCCAATTTCATCATGAAGATAGAAATATAGTACTTCCGTAAACTGTTTCAGCGTGTAATTTATCATATATGGATTTTCACTTACTTTGACTATTTACAAAATAGAAACTACCTTCACAAGTTAGCTTGTTAATTTGAAATTCGTATGCATTATTCCCCACATTACATTACATTACATACAATATTTTATTTTGAAGAAGCTTGCACTTGTTAAATTCAAGATTTACACAAGATCTAATGTTTTCTTTTTGTATGAGTAGACACAAGATCTAATTTTGTTACCTTTATTTTATTATATCAAAGAGGTGATTGAGGCTGAGGCATATGTAGTGGACGTAGCTTTTCACTCTATTTCACCTTTTTTCATACCAACTACCACACAACAAAATAATAGCAATTGTTTTCTTGACTGAGAGCAGTCAAGTCAATTATTTAGTGTCTAGCTCGAATGATCTTGGCATTTTCGATACTTATCCAAATTGATTCTCAATTTTGAGTAAATCATTACATTTCCAGGTCTTTTCCCTTTTTTGTTGGGTCATTTTGTGCAGATTGATTATTATATATATATATATATTAATGCTTTATCTCGACCTATATGCATTTGTTAATTTTATTTTAGAGAAAAAAAAAACAGTATACTTTATTAAGAGATATTAGGCTTATTGGGCCTTGTATAGTTAGTTATTAGAATTATTAGAGTAATTTGTCCCACATTGCTAGTTTCTAACTTAAGGTTGACCAATGTACTTGTATATATATGTGCCTTTAGGTTGATGAATAAATTACTTCCGCAAATTACTTTGACATGGTATCAGAGCCAGGTTACATAAAGTTTTGGTCTAGCTCTTGAATCAGAGCCTAAGGCTACATAAAGTTTTAGTCTAGCTCTTGATTCAAATTCTTGTTTATAAGTTGTGATTTATTGAAAAAAGCAAACCGACGAGGTCTTGCTCTTTTGTTTTTGGTGAACTCGGACCGACGAGGTTCGGGATTTCTGTAGAGCCATAAGGGCTTGGGATTTCTTTATTCGGTGGATAAACCTGATGAATTTCTCTATTTG